CGGTCGTTCGTGCCGCGTGACTCCGTTGCTATTCCACTACGCCATTGATGATAACGTTCAGAAGCTACTTGTAACCGACAGCAATAAACCCGATACGCGCTCTTCTCAGATTTTCTTGAAAATTCATGTCTCAGGTTGTTAATTTGCTGCTGGCAGGAGCTTGTTCCTTGTGCATTGAAACACTTTGTTTTATATAGTATCCGTGGTAGCAAGCGCCTGAAGACTGCTCTGTAAGTTCACTGCTCCCAGTTTGTAGGATCTAAATTGGCTGTCTGTGCGAGTAGAGATACTGTCTACTTTGAATATGAGAAGAATCCCTTTTTACAAATAATATGCAATGGGATTTTTAGTGTACGTGCAGAGCAAGTGAGAATGGTGAGGTGACTCTGGTAGTCAATACACGTGGTGGACATGATGCCTATGTAGTGTTGTTCACAACAAAGCTCCCTTTGCCCCTGTTGTAATACTCTTTACTTTTTCCTTTCTCTAGAGTGAGGCAGAAGTGAATCCCAAAGCTTACCCCCTGGCTGATGCACAGCTCACCAAAACGCTACTGGATCTTGTGCAGCAATCCTGCAACTATAAGCAGCTACGCAAGGGAGCCAATGAAGGTGAGACTTGTGTGTTGTGACGTGCTAGAAATCATAGCAAGGATTTGTGAGAAGCTGTGGCTAGAGATTCTCTTCTCTCTAGCAGTGGGCCACTAATGGTACATGGATCTGGATATTGCGAGTGTCCCCCTCCTTCTAGCCTGCTTAAACAAGAGTATTCATAGAATCGTTAGGGCTGGAAGGGACCTTCAAAGGTCATCTAGTCCAACCCCCCTGCAAGGAACAGGGATATCTCCAACTAGATTAGGTTGCTCAGGGCCTCGTCCAACCTCACCTTGAATGTCTCCAGGGATGGAGCATCCACCACCTCTCTGGGCAACCTGTTCCAGTGTTCTACAACTCTCATGGTAAAAAATTTTTTCCTAATATCCAATCTGAATCTACTCCCTCTATTTTAAAACCATTACCCCTTGTCCTATCACAACAGGCCCTCCTGAACAGCCTCTCCCCATCTTTCTTGTAGGCCCCCTTGAGGTACTGGAAGACCGCTATAAGGTCACCCCGGAGCCTCCTCTTCTCCAGGCTGAACAGCCCCAACTCTTTCAGCATGTCCTTCTGTAATCTTTTCAACATTTATATACAGATCTGGTAGATGCCAAACTGTGTTCCTGATACGTGTCCTGTGATCACGCATACTTTAGTGGTGTGGCACTGGGATTACTAGTTGCCTAGCCAGTTTAGAATAATAAAAAGATTTGGGTTTGAGGGGACCAATGGAGGTCTGTAATGCAACCTGCTCAGAGAGCGGCTCCCTTCACAGGTGGATCAGGTTGCTCGGGGCTTTGCCTAGTCAACTTTTGAAAAAACAATCCCTAAGGATACAAACTCCACAGTCTCTCATCTCAGGGCTCATGTTCCATGGTTTAAATCCTTCTCATGGTGGGGGGGTGGGGCACAAAATTCCAGCATGTACCCAAAATCTCACTGAGGTAACAGTGACAGTCTGCAACTTGTCCTTTTTCCTGTGCACTCAAGAGGACAGTCTGGCTCCATCTGGACATCTAGATCTGCAATCCCCTTAAAGTAGTAGAAGATAGCAGCTGCATCCCCCCTATTCCCACCTTCACCCTCTCTTCTCATGGCTGAACAAACCCAGCTTTCTCGGTCTCCCCTCATCTGTGGTGTGCCCCAGCCCCCTACCCATCAGCAGCCCTGGGCTGGCCTTGATCCCCTGTGAATCTCTCTGCTGTGCTCGAGGGCAGCTCTGGGCACAGTGCCCCAGGTGCAGCCCTGTGAATAACCCCCTCCCTGGCCTTATAGCTGCCGTTTTACTTGGGCCTGCCCTTGTGGTACCACTAGATCTCCTTGCTCATGCCAATTTCAGCATCTCCTAATGTTTTTCGTTAGATGTGCTTTCTGGAAGGACCTAGTCTTAATTTTCAGTTTCTTTTACAGCCACTAAAACGCTGAACCGAGGGATAGCAGAGTTCATTGTCATGGCAGCAGATGCAGAGCCCTTGGAGATCATCCTGCACCTCCCTCTTCTCTGCGAGGACAAGAACGTACCTTATGTGTTTGTTCGCTCCAAGCAAGCCCTGGGCCGGGCATGTGGTGTTTCCCGGCCTGTCATCGCCTGCTCTATCACCATCAAGGAGGGATCACAGCTAAAGCCTCAGATCCAGTCTGTCCAGCAAGCTATAGAAAGACTGTTGGTCTAAATGCCCATGAGTTTAAGTGTGGAATAGAAAAGTTGAAGTCGGGGAATTAGTGTCTAGCTTCAGTTGAGATTATAGTTTTGATATTCAATGTTTCATTTCAAAACACTGCGTTTTTGTTTAATAATGGCTTAATTCTTAGTGTTTCTGCCTCTCCTCCCCCCTCTGTTCTATTATTCCACTCCAACACATTCATTCTCATTGTATTACTTCTTGAAAAGTGATTGTACAACTGTATTTCCTGTTTGATATTTAAAAGAAAGGAAAAAAAAAAATCCCCCCCTTATCTCCATGTCTGCCTCCTCAACGTGTTTTCTAAACCACCCAGGAGCTTCCTCTGTGTTGCAGTATTTCTGCTAAGCCTCAGCCTCTAACAGGTGTTGAGTAACTCTGTGTTTCTGAACGGTTTAGTCTGAGGATGAGACGTGCCGGTTCCCCGCACAGTGTGTGCGTGCAGACTGCTGGAGTTGTTGCTTTCAGTGATGATGGAGCAGCGTAGACCACGTTTTAGCAGCAGATGGAGCCCAGATCAGTACACATAGCACAACCCTTTTTCTTCTTGAAACCAGACAAAGAGACTTGTGTAAGAGGCGTGTGGGGAGCCGAAATCTTCTGGCAGTGCCCAAGGGGAAATCTCTTATCTCGCTTATTTTTAAATACTGACTTTTTAAGAAAAAATAAAATTGCTGACAAAGCTAAATACAATTATCATTCCCTCGGGGAAGCATTTGCAACTAACTGGAGTGTTCCTATGTGTAAAGCTAAACTGCTCAGAGATTGCCTAAAGGCTGTTGCAGTGTAGTAGTTCATACTCCTTCATTTTTCTCTGTGTGGACTATATTGATGAGCTTGGGCTTCCTAGGGTGTGTTAAGTACAAACCACAGGGTAGCGAGCAGCCTGCTGTGGCTGACAAGTACTCTACGTAGCTCATGCTTTTGGGAAAGCTGCTGTACTATAGTCACCTGACTAAAGATAAAGCCTTTAGGTCATGGCTGAGGCAACAGCAAGTAATTTTTCAGATAAAACAACTCGTGTCTCAAGAAGAGAATGTTAGGTAATCTCATGTTCTGGAAAAGCATGGAGCACCACCAGCGTTCTGGATTAGTGGTGGTTTTATGGAGCCAGCTTTAGTGAAATGCATATTGTATAATAAATCCACTGACTGCTTTGAGCAGAAGAGTCTAAACCTCTGTCTTGGAATGGGTCATTTCAAACCTGCCTTCTATTGCAGGATGCCAAAGCAAAGCTAGCATGGAAAGACCAATAGGTACAACAGCAGAAGGGAAAATAAGTTCTCCTGTAATGTTTCCCAGAGGCACTAACTTCATACCATTAGTAAGTACATCCCAAGCAGGTGAAATCAGCTCACACAAAACTGAAGACAAAGCATGTCTGCATATTTTTGTAAATGGCTGATAACTAATATCCTTGCTGAGATAAACCTAACACAAAGATTTGATAAGTCCTTTCACTTGTATGAAGTTTAGGAATGCTGCTGTTCCCTTCCACTGATGCTGACTGTTGACCTAGTTGTGCTTAAAACCACAGCTTTGCAAAGGACTTGCCCTGTTGTACCATGCCAAGACAGCTGCTGTAAGACAAAGCACATAAGGAGCAGAAATAAAGGATTATTGACCAACCAATTAAGGGCAGGATAGTCTCGCTGTTTTATTGCGTTCAATTCAAGTCTTGTTAAGACAAGCATTTACAGTAACTTCTTTGCCAAAGGGCAAAATAAATTGATGGCTTATACAAATCTATTAAAAATAACTTCTGTAACACAGGCTGATTGAAAGTGTAATAGACTACGTAGCTTCAATACTGCAGAGCTTGATGTGGGCTAGCTGCTCTTCTGAGAGGAGCTGTGGGGTGGAAGTGAGCAGCATGCTGGGACTGCTAGAGTGGTCACCATGCCAAGAGAACGTTCACAGCTGGCTCTGATACATGTGCCACACTATGGCACAGGCACAACCTCAATACATGACTTAAATCTTCAGCAAGTTGCCCAATTGTGTGCAAACACAGGAATCCCTAAAAACATCATGCAGACCAGAACGGGTACCTTGTGTATCCCCTGTTTGCATCCTGTAGAAAGTTACAGTTTCTTTAAACAATTAGTACTCTTTTCTAGAGGAAGGGCAATAATTATTGGGTTTAATCGTCTTGCTCTGCAAGACAAGTGGGGCATACCAGGTGTGGAAGTTTAAAAACCAAAACACAGACAGCCCCAGATGCAGCCTCCATAAGTATTATCAAAAAAATAAAAACACTGGAAGTAACAGAGTAACAGGGGCTACTCTCCACAACTTGCCAGTTTTTATTTTTAAAGCACAAATTTGAGTACAGAAGCCGACACAATAGTCTGACTCATACTCACTATAGAGGTGGAAAAGTTGTAAGCCATGTCAGTAATTTAATTGTGGCAAGTGCTTGCAGCCATCCAGGGAACATGGCCTTTTTTTTTTTTTTCTCTCCTTTTTTAAACCAGCTTTTGCTATTACCATTTAAAAATCGAAGACCTGGCTGTGCAGCTTGGTGAAGAGGTGACTTTTTGTCCCAAAGGATTGGCTACTGTTTTCCCAGTAATGATTTTCTCCTTTATGATCTGCTGGTGATCTTCATAATGCCCATGATGGAAAAGAACCCAAATGGATAACAAGTACTGATACTGACCGGCTGTTTTGGAGAGTAGGAAAGTTACACACCACGTTTATACCCTCTTTTAGCACACAGACTTGACCTGCTGCTTGAATTTGTATGGTACCATTAACAGAGACCATTTTGTTTTCTTACTCACATTGAAGTGAGCTTTGCTGTCTTTATGATGCAAAGGTGGTATAGCCAGTGTTGCAAACTAAAAAATCCAAAATAACTTTTATTAAGAAACTGGGAAGGCACAACTGTGTTAACTTGCAGTGGGCGACCTGAGTTAGTAGGGAATTTAATTCTGCCTTTGGCTACTGTGAACAGAATCCAACTTTGCAGAGATGTTTCACAACTAAGAGGAAGAAGTTTCTCCGCTGCTAGATTCAGCAACATTTAGTCATCTTCTCCTCCACAGCAAGATTAAACAGACACAGCATCCACATAAGACAACCGAAACTTGAAGCAGCCAGAAGTCTACCAGGGCCTTCTGCTCCCAGTTAGTGCTCATTAAAGTATTCAGTTAGTGCGTCCATGAGCTCCTGCTTCTTTCCTCCACCCTTCAGCCCATAAAGCCTGCATGCCTCCTTCAGAACAGGTACAGTGAGCTTGCCTAGAGTGCCCTTCTGCACATGACTCCGCAGCTCATCTTTCGAGAGTTCTACCTTGGGCCTCTTCTCAATTTGACCATCAGAAGCTAGAAAGATAAATTTTAGATCACTAAGGTTTTTTAAAGTTTCTTAACAGAAAGACATCAACATTTCTCACATGTACCACCGTTAATGGCTATTAGCACATGGTACTTGAACGCTACCTACACACTCACAGACCTAGTTTCCATATTTTGTCTTATGAAGTAGGTGTCGTACACTACGTAAGTCATATAGTATATCTGATTGATATGAGTGATCTCAAACTCAGGTTTGAAACTGTCTTCTGATGAAAGATCACCCCAAGATGAAACTTTTAAGGGATTCTCATCTAGACAGGAGAAAGTAACTATTCCACAGGGAGTTCAGCTAACCAACACTCCCCCTTTATGCAGTTTCATAGACTTTCAAACTACACATGTACTTAGACATTTAGCCCTAAAGATGCCTATCTTGGACTTGCTAAACAGCCCATGCATAAAAGTCTGATTCCTCACTAAGAACCCAAATAGAAAGCACAAACGATTTTACTACTCTGCTGTAAAAAACCCAAAGTTATTAATAATTATAATAATAAACAAATATCTATTTTGCAGTAATTTACCCACATTGCTCCATATACTTCTCTGGTTTTTCACTATGCAGTTTCTCATTCCAGTAGTTCTCTAGCTGGATACCACAATATCCTCTACTCTTTAAGAATCACCACTGGATATAAGTCCACCTTGTTGTGGAGATGAGTAAAGAGTTATTGCACAAGCAGCTTCTTTAAACTGAAAATGTAGAAGCCTCTAACAAAGAGCACAGACACCACATTGCATGTCTGCACCATGCTTACTTACCTTGTTTTCGCTTTACAGCCTTCCCATCAGGATTGTAGTCAGGGGGATAAACCAGCTGCTTAAACTCCTCCACCAGTTTGCCCAGCCTGCGGTCCATCTCTTCAGCCTTTGGCACTAGAAAAGGAGAAAGATTCCGTCTCCCAAAACTAGAGCAATCACAGGAAAGTCTAAAGAGGCCATCACCAGTTACAATTGTGCTTCTGTAATAACTAACAGGCAAGTGTCTTGCAAGCATGCAAAATGCAAAGACCTGTGTTACGATAGTCACAAATGAGAAATTTACAGCTCTTGGTAATATCAAGAGTTTGTATTATACACAGGTAATGGACTTGCACATATCCCTGAACAAGAAATATATGTGGAACAAAACGGACATGGTGGAAGTGATATAGAAGATCTCCTAGCTGCTTGCACTATGACCCTGGTCTAACCTCAGCCGTTTAAAATACAACAGGTTTCTATCCAAAGTTGTGAGTAGTTTGAGGCAGAACAGCTTGTTTCTGTCATGTATTTGTATGGTACCTAGCACAGGGACCTAGATTATTTGTTAGGCATCACTTCAGAAGAGACAAATAGTTACTCTAACGGTACTGCTGGAGTACAACATAATTTTTAAAAAGGAACTGCTCCTCCAGGAGTACGTTTCTATCCTCCGACAAGGTATTCTTGTATAGAAACTCTCTTGGCCACAAGATGGCATCAATGCCTCCGAGCAGAATAATTCTATATCTGCATCGATAAATTCATTAGACTCTTGAAGAGAGGAAATTCAGAGAAAACATTTGTCACCATAGAAAAAGGTGATTCAATTTTAATTTTGGAGGGTAAAGTGAGCAATTTTTCCTTTAGCTTAAAAGTAACAGCATTAGAAACTAAGGTTTTAATATTTCAGAATGGATATATCCAGAATTCTACACCTTGGAACTGCACACAACTGAAATATTTTTCAAAAGACATTTGGTTTTGTAGTAGCACATCTCCGACTTAGAACAAAGTCAAGAGCCCTCTACCCCACCTCCCTTCGCACCCACCAATAATTCTCACTTGTAAGATCCTCAGCTTGTTCTGGCTCCATCATATCCAGCGCCAAAGCCTCCAGATTCCTGAAATGCTGCTGCAAAA